GCTAAATCCGATTTCTGAATGAATCATTTAAATTATTGTGTGGAATTTTTCTGGGGTCCCGTAACCGTAAGTCTCTCGTTCAAATATCATATCAAATGTGACTTGATCAAAGACTTCATTAATTGTCAAATATTTTTCCGAGTATTATAGGGTTTTGATTTGGAAAACGCAATTTTATTAATGTCAATGTGCATGAGCTATATATTAAAATCATATTTACACATTCAAACAATGGCTGTATATTGTGGACTGATCAATTGATGGATATATGATTGTTGACATTTTATATCTCTATTATAAGGTTGATCCGGTCATCGGTCATGTTTTTCAGAAATCTAGTGATATCTATGCCTATGAACATCTTGTTTACCAATTTTACTATACATAAGTACAAATAAAAATGAACACATCAATTATTGTGGTTTATAACGTTGTTTTTGTTTTTGGAGAAAGAGTTCTCTAGATAAACAGAATATATAATAGATCAAATAAAAAATATTTATCAGATAATATGAGTTTTGGGTGGAATGCATGCACCTACAAATTATGATTTTAACACTTTGTAAGTATATAAGATCACCTCTATTGGAAGTTAAATGTTCTAAATGGATCTCTCAAAATTAACATAAAATGAAATGATATTAAAATATTATCGATCTCTCAATTAGTGGGAGAAATAAAACTCATACAAAAGTGAGAGACTCATTGAAGATGCTCCAATAATCAATATACTATAAAGAACGAAATCTAATAAAAAAAGTGTTTGTATAGCGGCTAGAAATATTAAGTTTATTAACTGTATCGTAGATTATCTAGATAAAGTATACAAAATAATATCAATAATGTGTTATTTTGCAAAAGCAGAATACTTTTGCAAAATGTTTATTTTTGTATTATGGTAAAAAGGTAAAAATACTAGTATATGTTTTTGTTTTGAAAGCAATTAACTAAAAATAGTATTTTTGTATAAACTACTCTTGGAAACATAAGGTGTGTCTATATGGATTCCATGTCTTGGCGTGATTACGAAACTAACTCTGCCATTTTTAGTCGTGTCTCCCAAATTGTCTTCCTACGCAAATTGCTTTTTTTGTTAAAAGAAAAAAAAAACATACAAAAGCATGCACCAATAGTGTTACGCAATTGTTTGACTTCGAACCAAGTCAATCAATTATCAGTGCATATATTCAATTACTAATATTTGATGTAGTCATGTAGACCATAAATGAGAACACATCACGCTCTTCATGTGGGTTCACTTTTTTTTTGGGGCAACTGGGTTCGTTTTATATTGTTTTATTTGGAGACTCGAACTAAAAAAATTCAGTAATTTTCATATCTCCAAAGACGCTATAGAATTTTTGCAATGATGTTAAACATGAGGGAGTAGTACTACAATCTAAATAAACAATGTACATAGTAGAACATAAAGATGAATTTTTGGCATAAAGATGAACATATTGGTTCCATAGCTTTCTCCACATTTGACAACACATTCCAAAACGCGGCAATTTGGTTATAGAGAATACATAGTAACTACATATACAAAGAATGATTCAGATGAGCTCAAGAAACTATTTAAGGTTTGCACGTTGTATATTCTTGTCATTTTTATCCACATTTAATGGAATTAGCCCAACTAAACACACA